GAAAGTCAAACCTGGGGCGCCTGGGTGGCTCAGTCCTTGGGCATCTGCCTTTGGCTCGGGTCATGATCCCAGGGTCCTGGGATCAAGCCCCGCATAGGGCTCCTTGCTCTGTAGGAAGAGGGGATCTCTCCCACTCCCCCTGCTTGTGTTCCCTTTCTCGCTATGTCTCTCTCTGTAAAATAAATAAATAAAATCTTAAAAAAAAAAAGTCAAACCTGATAATTGGGGCGCCTGGGTGGCTCAGTCGGTTAAGCGTCTTCCTTCAGTTCAGATCATGATCTCAGTGTCCTGGGATCGAGTCCCACATCGGGCTCCCTGATCAGTGGGGAGCCTGCTTTTCCCTCTCCCTCTGCCTGCCTCTCCCCCTGCTTGTGCTCTCTCTCTCTCTCTGTCAAATAAATAAATAAACTCTTAAAAAAAAAAAGGTTTTACAGAATATCTGCCTGATCATAGAGACAGTATATATATTAGCAACTTCTCAAGCCGAATTTCTCAATGTAGTTTTCTATTTCTCTATTTAAGACAATATGAAAGCACGCTTTCATACTATTTGTGAAAGGCAATGGGTTTCATTATCCTGGCTCACAAAACATCCTTCCCTTCTCATACAGAATCCCATTGAAAAAGATCTATTTTGGAGATTTTTAGATGCTACCACTGTCACATACACACATAAAATCACCATTGTGCAAAAAATATATGGATAATTTAAAATGCAAAGTACCTGTTAATGTGAGTGATGAGACAATGCTTTTTTTTTTTTTAAGTGGCTAACATTTATGGAACACTTGCTAAATCCCAGGTCCTATGTGCTTTATATACAGTATTATTCCATTTAATCCTTAAACAACTCTAAGAAGCGAGAGCAATAGGCTGGTGTCTACCTCTATTCTTGGTCCCTTAACAGTGCACCCTCATATAGGAGACACAGTTGTCATCATCATCACCATTATAATTCAGTAGTTTTAATACATTCACAAAGTTGTGCAACATTACCACAATCTAGTTCTAGAACCTTTTCCTCATGCTAAAAAGGAACCCCACTAGCAGTTACTCCCACTTCCCCTGCTCTGTAGATTTTTATATCTATTTGTGGGGATCTTTTTTTTTTTTTTTTTTGTCTCCCAAGTATGAAACCAACTAAAAATTAAGACAGAGGAATCCCACAAAGATCAGTCAGGTACTTTTATCATCAATAAAATCTATTAATATGTGGTTTAGATTTATGGCCAAAACAATGCTAACACTTTACCCCAAATTTAGGTAGGCTTGAGCTACCTTGAGTCACTCACTGCCTCAGTTTAAGAGCCACAATGCTGCCCCTCTTAGAGGCCCTTTGCCACATGGCAGGACCAGAGCAGATTGCCCACTCCCTCCCAGTAGGCTGAGCAGAGAGAGGACAGAAAGGGACTAAGTTGAGCATATTGTCTCCCAACCTGGGACAGTCCTACTGTCTGTGGAGGAGATAATTCACTCTCTTGCACTGTGCAGGGTAGATCGGAGGGCATAAGAAGGCAGCAGAAAAACCAGGCAAAGCGCTACCGCAATGCCAATAACAAACACTATGTATATGAAAAGAGGGAAATAAAAGATTTCTGATGGGGCTGAAGGCAAGGTTTGTTCTCTGGCCTTATTACACTGCTTGACTCAGGTAAATACTGGGTATCTGGATTTCAGATAAGAGGAAGAATTTATTTGCCCAGTTTCATAATTGTTCCTTTGGGGGCCATATTTTGGCTGATCCTTCAATCCTATGCCCCTTAGAATTGGTCTTTGTTAATTTGTTCTTGGCTCAGGAGGCATCAGCAGGTTCCATACATTACATTATAGCCAACTGTCAATTAGGAGGTAGGATGCTGTGGAAAGACCACAGGTCCTGGACAAAGAAACCTGTGCCACGTTCCAGCTCTGTAAGGTAGATCGCTACAGTAATACTACCAATTTGTTCAAGCCTCACTGTATGCATCTCCCTTTGAAATGGGACTTTTCTGCTCTTCCATCAAGAGATTGCCTTTATTTTTCTACCCCTCGAAATCTGGACTGGGTCATGCTTTGGTGAACGTGACAAAAGCACATTAGAAAGTACTCAGACATTGGATCTTGCCCTCTCTTGTTCCTGGGAATCCTTGCGCTAGCATGTGAACAAGTCTAGGTTACCTGACTGGAGACAAGACCCTATGGAGCGAGGCTCCAGTTGTCTCAGTGGGGGGTTTTCCAACACCAACAATCACTTCTCTGATTCTCTGGACACCAAGTGGGTGTTGAACAATTCAGCTCAATTCTGACACTACCTATCCGGACGTAGTGCAGACCCCATGGCTTATTTAAGGGCTCAGTCCCACAGGGCTGCCCTCCACTTCAGTCACCAATTTTAAGTTCCAGGCCTCCCATACTTCTGATCAATTCACTATAAATCAAGAGTTCCTGGGGCACCTGAACGGCTCAGTCGGTTAAATGTCCAGCTCTTGATTTTGGCTCAGGTCATGACCTCAGGGTTGTGAGATGGAGCCCTGAGTTGGGCTCCATGCTTGGTGGGGAGTCTGCTTGGGATTCTGTCTTTCCCTCTTCCTGTGCCCCTCCCCCTGCTGGCTCTCTCTCTCTCTCTCTCTCTAAAATAAATAAATAAATCTTAAGGTAAAAAAAAAAGAGTTCCCATGACCCCCTCCTAAGATTTGATAATTTACTAGAATGGCCCACAGCACTCAGGAAGACACTTTACTTATATTTACTGGTAAGGGATACAAAAGAACAGGCCCATGAAGAGGTACTTAGGGCAAGGTCTGGAAGGGTCCCAAACACTCATGCTTCTGTTTCTATTGAGTCGGGCCGCACTACCCACCCGGGATGTGGATGTGTTCACCAATTAGGAATCTCATCAAGTCACATTGTTCAAGAGCTTTTATGAAACTTAAATCTCCCAGCCCACCCCCCTTTTTGCCTAGAGGTTCGTGGGTGGGGCTGAAAATTCCAACCCATTAATCAGTTGTTCTTCTGGCCACCAGACCTAGCCTGAAGCTACCAGGGGTCCCATCCGAAGTCACCTCATTAGTATAAACTCAGGTATTATGTAAAGGGGCTTATTGTGAATAATAAAAACACTCCTGTCCCTCAGGAAATTCCGAGTTTTAGAATCTCTATGCCAGGAACTGGGGAAAAAGACCAAATATGTTTCTGATCATATCACTCTCAGTTCTGCCTTCCAGCTAAGACCCCAGGCAAGTGAGTGAGGCCACCCTAGATCTGCCACAGGGAAGTATGCCCAAAGAATCATCACCAGCCTCAGCTGATGGGAAATAGAAAATGTTTGCTATTTTGGTCTGCTAAGTTTTAGGGTGGCGTGTTACACAGTAAAAGCTAACTAAAATAGGGCGCCTGGGTGGCTCAGTCGTTAAGCGTCTGCCTTCAGTTCAGGTCATGATCCCAGGGTCCTGGGATCGAGTCCCACATCGGGCTCCCTGCTCAGCGGGAAGCCTGCTTCTCCCTCTCCCACTCCCCCGCTTGTGTTCCCCTCTCTCGCTGTGTCTCTCTCTGTCAAATAAACAAATAAAATCTTAAAAAAAAAAAAAGCTAACTAAAATAGCACCTTATCAGGCATGAAGAGAAAGGGAGAAAGTAGTTCTATTAAGAACATAAGAAAGATGTTTGTTTTAATTCAAAATGAATTTAATCTTGAGCTTCCGGGGAGCCGAGGCAAATAAAAACAAGATGGGCCGTAGAGTTCCCAGTATTTGAGAAAAGACGTATATAAATTCTGAAGAGGTGACATTTTCTGGTCAAAAAAAGGATAAATGATATGTCAGTATTAAAGAGACCCAAAATACCATAATATATAAAAGTATCTTCACATTTTATAAGCAAAAGAAAAAAATTTCATGTAATTCCCTTATATTAATCCTCAATATAAATCAAGATAATCCAATGTGTTATAAAAATTGAGCTTATTAAACCCTAAAGGAAGGAATGATCAACATGTCTATGAAACTGGAATTTTTAAAAACATACTTTTGGAAAGAGCTGTGTATGAAGGTAAGTCTTAAGATGTGGAAGGATTTTATTCTTGAAATCCCCTTGCCATTCTTTCGTAATATAGCCAGTCTTCATATAACATGTAAATTCCCTGGGGCGCCCGGGTGGCTCAGTTGGTTAAGCGACTGACTTCGGCTAAGGGTCATGATCCTGGAGTCCGGGGATCGAGTCCCACATCGGGCTCCCTGCTCAGCGGGGAGCCTGCTTCTCCCTCTGACCCTCACTCCTCTCATTCTCTGTCTCTCTGTCATTCTCTCTCTCTCAAAAAAAAATTAAAAAAAAATAAAAAAATAAAATGTAAATTCCCCTTATTTAAATAAATTTTCACTTGAGTGAAATGAGACTTTAAATTTTTTAAACTTAAAAAGTTGTATTTCTATAGAACCCATAATAATGTGAATGTAGTGATAATGAAATATTCACCACATGAATGAAATTTGGACTTCAAAGTTCAGTTTTGATCATGTTAAATTATTTTTATGATTATGAACAGTTCACATTGCCTTTATTTATATAAACATATACTATTTATAGAACTGAAACTACGAGCCATGTACTCTGCTAAGTGCTTTACATTTATCAATCCATTCAATCCTTTCAACTGTTCTGGAATGTAGATATTTAATGCTTGTCCTATCCTGACCCTTTAAATGACCCCTCTTACAGGTGCAAACTTCCACTGAAACCTACATAAAAAGTTGTGTCTTAAATCAATGGGGAAAGTTTTGAAAAATGATCTATTTAAACACAAATCAAATTACATCCTTACCTCACACCTTATGCTAAAATAAATTTGTAAAGGATTTAATCAAGAGTTAAAATGTAAAATTAAGCCATAAAATTAGGTGATTTATCTCAGGATAAAGAAGAACCTTATATCAAATAGCGATTAAGAAAGTTACAAAGAAAAATATTAATAGGAAAATAGTTGAATATATACCAATGAAATAATGCTTATAATTTTTTTCCCACAGGAGTATAAACATTATTGGACAGAGTTGAGAGGAACTACACTTTTCTTTTATTCTGACAAAAAAAGTCCAACAGTAAGTAGTAAAACATATTCAGTTGACTGAATTTTTCCTAATATAGACTTGTCATATAGTTTTATTCATTTGGGGTTTTCTGTCTTCTGACATAAAGATATTCTAGTAAAACCAATTCAAATAAGAACTTTTATTATACCTGTGGGGGCTATCAGGTATAAGATCTATGGTAAAATTTCCAGAAGAAGGTATAAACTCATGTCTTTAACTTTGCATATTTTGGGGTGCCTGGGTGGCTCAGTCGTTAAGTGTCTGCCTTCAGCTCAGGTCATGATCCCAGGGTCCTGGGATCGAGCCCCGCATTGGGCTCCCTGCTCAGTGGGAAGCCTGCTTCTCCCTTTCCCACTCCCCCTGCTTGTGTTTCCTCTCTCGCTGTGGCTCTCTCTGTCAAAATAAATGAATGAAATCTTTAAAAAAAAAAAAAACACTTTGCATTTTTTTCTTTCAGATGCCAATAATAGAAACATAGCTGAAATGTGAAATTTTTATTTTACTTTTTTTTAAGATTTTATGTATTTATTTGAGAGAGAGAGAGCACAAGCAGGGGGGAAGGGCCGAGGGAGAGGGAGAAGCAGACTCCCTGTCGAGCAGGGAGCCGGACTCAGAGCTCTATCCCAGGACCCCGAGATCATAACCTGAGCTGAAAGCAGATATTTAACTGACTGAGCCACGGGGGTGCCTCGAAATGTGAAAACTTTAGCCAGATATCCGGATACAACTTGTTTAATGCCAAGGGATAGCCTAAATTTCCCCAGCTTTTTACCTTGCTCTAGCATGCACTAATGATCTGAAAGGAGCTAGATAACCCCCAAAGCCTTATAACATATGACACAATTTAATTTTCCTAGGGAAACAAAAACATAACCCACTACAGAGGACTTCTAAGAGCTTAAGCATGAGAATAACAATAAAGAGATTCTAAGACTTATTTATTAGTAGTAATTTCAAATAAGTGATTTATATTTCAACTTTCCCACAAAAATTGAAAAATATATATTTCATTTTTTCCACAAATAATATTTTAGTGCCAAATGCTTGCCTACCTTGGAATGCAATGCCTTTAGGAGATTTTATGATCTGGTCACTTGCTTTTTTTTTTAAATTATTTTTTAAGATTTTATTTATTTATTGGACAGAGAGAGACAGCAAGAGAGGGAACACAAGCAGGGGCAGTGGAAGAGAGAGTAGCAGGCTTCCTGCCGAGCAGGGAGCCCGATGTGGGGCTCGATCCCAGGATCCCAGGATCATGACCTGAGCCGAAGGCAGACACTTAACGACTGAGCCACCCAGGCGCCCCTGGTCACTTGTTTAAACACTTTGGACCGTGGATGTAGTAGCCCACAGTTCTTAGAACATCATTATTACATGTCCAGATCTAATGAAAGGAACAGAAAAAGAGCCTTTGTGATATATTCCACCTGCAGGCATTTCAGTGCCATTTGTGGTAAACTCACCAGATGTCGTTTTAAAAAATAAACAAAAAACAAACTTAAAATGATCATCTTTCACTGGAGTTCTGGATAGATTTGTGTAAAGGTGTTTCCAAACACCATAATAAATTTTAACAAAATGAATTCTTCTGTTGTGCCTTCCTACTTCCTACTGATGTCAGTAAACCCGTGACAACCCCTGGCCTACACCTTGTGTAGTACAGGTAAGCAGCAGAGCGAACAGGTACTGCTCACTTACTCCCTGGCAGGAGGCGGTACCTGCTCTTCACGCTGACTGCCTGGGTGTTTATGCTGGCCCTGCCACTGTGAGCTGTGGGTTCTCGGGCCAGTTACCAACCTCTCTGTGTCTCAGTCTATCAGACAGGGAAGTGGTAGGAAACAGATGACAACTCAAATTGGGCATTTTTTTTTTAAGATTTTATTTTTAAGTAATCTCTACACCCAATGTGGGGCTCGAACGCCTGAGATGAAGAGTTCATGCTCCACTGACTGAGCCCAACCAGGCGCTCCTCAAATTGCGCATTTTTGAAGAAAATTTAATGAAGATGCTATATTCAAAGCCGTGGACAGGATGTAGGAAAACCACAAAGGGTAGAACAGAACTCTGAGGCTAGTAACAGCACCCTTCTATCATGTCCAGGATATGAAAAAAAAGTGGGAGAATGGTGAACAGAGGTGTGCGAAGGTGAGTGCATTGAGAGGAGTATGATCTTTGAGGAAACAATTGCATAGGATAATAAATAGCTCACTCTCCTTGGTCTTCTGATCTTCTGCCAGTGTCAACCAGGGTCCCACGCAGTGGTAAGTCAGATGTTGTCCACATCAGTCTCTCTCCTGGTGCGTAGCACTGTGTAGTGAAGGGATAAAAGTATACCTAGATGACCAAATAAAAGATCATGTCCAACATGTTTATTTTCACATCTCTAAAATTAGGATGAAAAGAGTCGCCCATGTCATGAGGTTATCAAAAGGTTTAAATGAGGTAGTGAAGGTAAGGACTTAAGTGAGTAGCTGGCACAGAGTAAGCAATCAAGCATTTTATTATTTTTTTAATTTTTAAAAATTTTATTTATTTGAGAGAGAGTGAGAGAGAGAGAGAGTGCACAAGCCAGGGGAGGGGTGGAGAAGTAGGCTCCCCGCTGAGCAAGAAGCCCAACATGGGACTCGATCCCAGGACCCTGGAATCATGACTTGAGCCAAAGGCAGACGCTTAACTGACTGAGCCACCCAGGTGCCCGCATTCAAGTATTTTATATACAATATCTCATCTAATTCTCATAACAACTGTGCAGAGTGGGTACTGTTTTAATCACCATGTATAGATGAGGGTAGTCAAGTTTCAGGATTCAGAAATTGTGCAAGATCAGACAGTGAACGAGAGGTATAATCCAGATCTTGCTCCTGAGGCAGCATTCTGAACCATTGTGCCACAAAGAGACTGTTGCAATGAAATACTGCAGAACTGTCCATCTACTGATTTTGTTAAAAGAGGGTATAGGCTTTAGGAAATGTGTTGGGTGATCTCAGGAGAAAGCACAGAGACAGAACAGGTGAGAACTGTGGATATTCGGCAGATAGTTGGGAAGAATTTAAAGCTGCCTTTATTTGAAAGGCTGTCAGGAGTCATGCGAAAGAGGCTGTGAATTTGTTTCATGTTATTGCAGAGAAAGGGGACCGGGACCAATGGATGGAAATTCTCTGGAAGAAAAACTGTGGCTTAATATGAGGAAAAGCTTGCCAGCAGGCAGAGTGGCACAGGAGGCCTGAGTTTCCTGTTGTTTGAGATATTCCAACATAGACAGGATGGCTACATGGAGGGATACCGTGAAGGAGATTCAAGCATGAGGGCAATAGATTAGACAGATCAGCTTTAAGGCTCTTTTCAACACTACAGTTAAAAAAAAAAAAAAAGAACTTCCTTTCTTTTAATCAATAGATCAGTTTACAGCACTCTATCTAATTTGGCCACTTCTTCCTCTGTTGCTTCCTCCTTTGTCTCAGCAAAATTCATTTAGCTTAATCTAGACAATCTATCAGAAAAAGATCTTTTGTAATTTGAAATTCTATCCTGCTTCCCTTATACCTTCCCTTCCATTTTAAATTGCTCTTTGTTCACTGAAAATAAATAGGCCAACCCAAATTACCCTTAACTTCATCAACATAGGAATAGGTCTGGAAAAAAATTTACTTACTTATTTTTATGCCTTACTTTATTCAGAAAAATAAAATAAGGAGACCTACAAGAACAGAGCAAAATAAGTTATGTTGGGCAAAACAGGAAAATAAAAAGAAGTCAAGAATGAGGCTAATTCAGAAAAAATATTATGCCATAAAAACTCTACTGAGCTTACTGGAAGTGGTTTTGATCTAATATTAGAAAGCCAACTGCATACAGACCAGTTGCATACAGACCAGTCCATAGATACCAATTGTTCAGAAGAAATTTTTTTAATTTATTTTTCTTTTTTTTATTATGTTATGTTAATCACCATACATTACATTCTTATTGTATTGGGATAAGATAGGAATTTCTTAATAGGATCCTCATAACCAGGGGCATGTGAAAAATGTCGAATAGCATTCTGGAAAAAATTGTGTATATGAATATATGTACATAAATCTATTATAAATATTACTGATAAGAATGTGTAGCACACAGTTAAAAAAATAAAATACACAATATTCTTTTTTTTTAAAGATTTTATTTATTTATTTGAGAGAAACAATGAGAGAGAGAGAGCACATGAGAGAGGGGAGGGTCAGAGTGAGAAGCAGACTCCCCACCGAGCAGGGAGCCCGATGCAGGACTCGATCCCGGGACTCCAGGACCATGACCCGAGCCGAAGGCAGTCGCCCAACCAACTGAGCATCCAGGTGCCCCCACAATATTCTTTATTGTAATTTCCATATAGGTAATTGATTCCCATAGAATACTTTCAGGGATTTTTCTGAACTTGGATCCATAGCCAACTATGATTGCAATTCAATCATGATTTGACAAATGGAGTTGTTTCCCAATCTGCTGTTTCCCTAATAAATTTATTGTCATTAAATATAACATTTGACATGAACGTTGGCTGATATTTTTGTTTACATTAAGGAATAAGAGGAAAGTAAAGCAATAATTATATATGTCACCTCTTTGTCAATGACACGGGCAAGTTCTTTGCTGAGTAACAATAGTTTCTAATTATGGAAGAATATTTTGTCAATTTTTTGTTCTGTTAACAATGAAAAAGTTTCAGACACAACAAACTTTAAAGTTTCACCTGCATTGGGTGCCTGGGTGGCTCAGATGGTTAAGCGTCTGCCTTCAGCTCAGGTCATGATCCCAGGGTCCTGGGATCGAGTCCCGCATTGGGCTCCCTGCTCCTTGGGAGCCTGCTTCTCCCTCTGCTTCTCTCTCTCTCTCTCTCTCTGTCTCTCATGAATAAATAAATAAAATCTTTAAAAAAATAAAAAATAAAAAAATAAAGTTTCACCTGCATTATTAACATTTTTCTCCCTCACTTTCTTATGTCTCAACCAGAGCAGAGCAAATTGTGGCCCTTGAGCCAAATCTAGCCAGTGGCCTGATTTTGTACAGTCTATGAGCTAAGAATATTTTTTACATTTTTAAAGTATTGTATTAAAAAAACAACAACAATAGGAATTTGCAACAGAGACTCCATTTGGTCCACAAAGCCGGAAGCATTTACTATCTAGCCTGTGCAGAAAAAAAAAAAAAAAAAATTGCTGGCCCCTAGGACAATTAAAGAGTAAATCAAGCCCTAATTTGTAAGATTTGCTTATTTCCAGGATGCAAATACTTCCACCATAGCTGATTTCAACCTATGAGTGTGACCTCACTGAATTGGGAAGAAAGGTACAGTAATGCACCATTAGATGGTATTCCATCAAACAGAAATGAAGATGTAAATAACCTCAAGAGCATAGTGAATACTAGTTAGTAATACAATTAGAAAATAATGAGTTTTGTGGGGTGCCTGGGTGGCTCAGTTGTTAAGTGTCTGTCTTTGGCTCAGGTCATGATCCCAGGGTTCTGGGATCGAGCCCTGCATTGGGCTCCCTGCTCTGTGGGAAGCCTGCTTCTCCCTCTCCCACTCCCCCTGCTTGTGTTCCTTCTCTCGCTATGTCTCTGTCAAATAAATAAATAAAATCTTTAGAAAAAAAGGAAATAATGTTTTGAATTAAATAATGTTTTGTTTTAAAAATAATTGTATGCTCATATCATTTAATTTTTAATAATGGCTGTGTTTAGTGACTGGCTTACAAAATTCCTAAAAATTAAAAAATCAGCTTTTGCTAACCTGTATGAGTCAGGTCCAGCACACCGCCACATAATACGTTTTCCAAACGCCCTCTGGGTTTGGAAGAGTTGCGATGCCCAGTTGAAAACCAGAATAACATGCAAGGTACAAATCAGTTGAAAGGAAGAGATTACTTATATACCTGCCTGCCAGACCTAATGTATGTTACCCATGAAATAATGTAATGAGATTTCCTTTATCTCTGCAGTATGTCGACAAGTTAGACCTAATAGACCTCACATGCCTTACTGACCAGAATTCAACTGAAAAGAATTGTGCAAAATTCACCCTTGTTTTGCCAAAAGAGGAAGTGCAACTGAAGGTGAGTAAGGAGAAGCAATCAGTTGGAAACAAGTCGTGGTTATAAACAGTATTGGCCTCTTCACAATCCAGTGGCTGAGAAAAAGAGGAATTGTAAGAGGAGCTGCCAAGCTGCCAAGTCTTGTACTTTGTTAATATTTCTTGCCTTTTGCCAAAAACTGCAGTTTTCTAAATAAGGACTTGAAAGGTCACGTTCCCTTGTTTAGTATACAAGCACATTGAAACCATATATTTTTGTCCTCCAACAAAGTCAGAGATTCCATCTGGTGTTTTTAAAAAGTTGTTCTTGAATTGACATTCACCAAGTTCCCAGATGAATCTGAGACATGTCCAACATGATACATGTTGGGAACCACTGAATTAGACAAACCCATATTTCACAAATCGAGACATATTTTGCAAAGTAATTGGCTTATAGTCTTCAAAAATACCACTGTAAGAAAAGCCAAAGGAACACTGGATACCTGCTCCCAATTATGGAAACTGGGGTATGACAACTAAATGTGATGTGTGATCCTGGATTGGATTCTGTATTAGAAAAGGAAAAAAAATGAAAAAGAACATTATTGTTACAGTTAGACAAACTGTATACACAGTTTGTAAAATACGGTATTAATCTCACAAAAATCTAAACTCCCCATGAGCAGAGATCTGTTTGTAAAAGTCGTCACTGTACACCCAGAAAAAAATATTACAGTACCGTAGTCTCTGCTTAAAGCGATTGCAGTTACCTGCAGTCAACTGCGGTCCGGAAGCAGATGATCCTCCTTCCGACCTATTATCAGAAGGTCAGTAGTAGCCTACCACTCTGTCACAGTGCCTATGTCATACATATCACTTCATTTCATCACGTAGGCATTTTATCAGCTCACATCATCACAAGAAGGGTGAGTACAGTACAATAAGATTGTTTTTTTAAGATTTTATGTATTTTGAGAGAGAGAGAAAAAGCATGAGTGGGGGGAAGGGCAGAAGGAGAGGGGGAGAGAGAGCGGGAGAATTTCAAGCAGATTCCACGCTGAGCAGGGAGCCCGATGGGGCGCTCGATCCCATGACCCTGAGGTCATGACCTGTGCCGAAATCAAGATTTGCTGGGTTTTGATGGCTTTACACATTTTGAGACTTATGAAACAATTGTATGAAATTCTAAAGTTATCTGAAGTTAATGTTTACAATCATTCATGTCTTTTCTTCTTTGTCTTTATCTTTTTGTTTTCCTCTTTAGACAGAGAACACAGAAAGTGGGGAAGAATGGAGAGGCTTCATTCTTACAGTAACAGAGGTAGGTAGGAAGGACATTACTTTCGATTGATTCATTAATTTAACAAATATTTACTGGACACTGGCTATGAACCACACAGAGTGAAAGGGGTCAAAAATACAAGAATTGGAAAGGAGAGATATAAACCCTTACACTTACTCGTGAAATTCATATTTTTATCAGGTGGATGGAAAGGAAGAAAGAAAATGAACAAGATAATTTAAAAATGTGGTAACTGTTATGTAGAAAGTAAACAGGGCCTTATGCTAGCTGGAGAGTTACAGGTGGTCAGGGAGATATACTTTTGGTCCTGTCCTTTGACACAGTGGTCCTTTGTAATGCTGATATCTATAGCTTACATAGCATCTTCTAAACTACTTTCCAATTATTTTCTTATTCACTTAAAACATATTTATAAAATGCTAAGAGATGAATTTCGTGAAGAACATAAACAATATAACAGAAAGCCAGTCAAAATGAAAATTCACCTTCAAACATTTGCTTAGTGAGTCTTAAGACAAAGCGATGCTTACATGTTCAATTCTGTGGCATCTTATCAGAGACAAATAGTAAGACCAAAACTGCTTACGGTTAACTGTTGCAGCAGGATCTCCATTATTTTAAATGCAGCTATTGTAGCAATTGTCATAAACATGAGGGACCTTGAGAGCCAGCCCCCAAAAGAGCACCATGTTCTCTGATACCTTTAGAGAAGAAAACTTTCTATGTTTATTACCGTCAGTTAAATACAGAGTCTGTCCAACGCTAGCTCCTAAGTGAAGGCTTTGCAGTCATATGAAATACGCACCGCACTTTACCGAGATGATGGATGCTGGTTCTTTATATCAGCCAATAACAGGTAAAAGTTGGAGGCTCGGCTACCATGCAGGGAAGTCACAGGAGGGTAGAAAAGGGGGCCAGTTAAAGATGTGAGACACGTTGCCTTGTGAAGCAGAAGAAACTTTTTGGGAAACTGCTTTGGTGTTGTGGAAAAGCATCATTGTGTGGCACGGCACTTCTTACATTGGGATCCAAGTCCCCCAAGGGTATGTGAGTAAGGTTATCAAGGAGAACACTAAAGCCACTGGAAAACCTTGGGGTGCCTCCTCCTGGCACACTAATTATACTTGATGTTTTGGCATAAAAAATCTGTTTTTAGTTTTTTTCTTTGAGGTAAGGATAAAAAGCATTGTTTTCATATTAACATGTACATAGGTATATTCAGAATAGAAAATAAAATTCATGTGAATTTCCAAGAGAAGAAAAGTTGTCTTAAATTTTGTGCTCTGTAAATGTTGGTTTTTACTATGTTTCCTGAACACTCCGTGTATATTCCCACTGTGCTGTTGTTAAGAGAATTTTACGAGAAGTTTGAGAACCACAGATTGTAGTTGAAAGAGCAGAGACTTTGCTTTTGAATTAATAAACTGGAGGTTGAGTCTACCACTTTCTAGCTGTGTGACCCTGGGCTAGTTATTTAATCTTTCTGAACCTTTTTTTTTTTCCTACTTGTAGAGTAGGAATAACATTACTTATATTATAGTATTGCTGTGAGGAGTTGAGATAGCACAATGCTTGGGACATAATAGGCAATTAATAAACCATAGCTTTTTCATTAGTTTCACCTCATTCTATTATTTTTTTCTGGATTGGTATATAAGGAAATAACTATAGTGATTATTAGCTTAGTTATCCAAAGGAATAACTTTTTGATTGCATACCCTTATTATGTTTTTATTTCAAATGTCATATACATGCAATGTATAAGAGAGAAACAATAAGAATTAATAAGAACATGTAAATAGGCCATAAGGAGATATATATCAGAGGTATGAATATCAGGAGGGCATAGGTTGCTCAATCCAAAATACATCTCTAAAAAAGGTCAAAACGAAGTAGAGCAGTATCGTAATCCTAATGTGTGAATGTCAGTTTGAAATATACACACAAATAAACTGGAATATGGACCTCTGACTACCAATTCTCAGTCATCTAATGAAGAGTTCATCTTAACTCCATGTTGTCGTATGGCTGGGGGAGCTAGTCCTAGGTTAGCTGTGGGAGAGCAGGGCACCTTGCAGGTGCTCTGGGACTTCCCTGGCAGCAAGAACGAGTGAACTTAGCATGAACAGTGAGAGGTTTGTTACTCGAATTAGCTTGTAGTGCAAGGTGGGTATACTTTGCTGTGTGCCAGGTTGAAAGGAACACTTGTAGGAAGGTTGGGCACCGTGCACAGGTTAAAGCTGTTTGGTTGGTTGGGAGGCAGTTTTAAGACACCAAGATCCTCTATTCACAATTCTATCCATCCACTGTGTCAGATAAGTGGAGCCCCTGAGGACCACAGCGGTCTCCTTGTTGCTAACACCAGTTAGTCATTCTGCTTTCTTGTTTGCCTACTGCTTTCACTGGTTTCAGCTGTCAGTTCCCCTACACATGTCCCTCCTCCCTGGGCAAGTAATTCGACTGCATGAAGTCCTACAGAGAGAGAAAAAAAGGAGGATTGAGATAGAGCGGACCCCGAGCTCAGCTATGGAAAAGGAGAAGGAACCGATTGAAGATTATGCAGATGCACTGAGTCCTATGCCAGCGTAAGTGCACCGCGAACTCCGGGGTTTGTTACTAGGTTGTTAATATTAATTTCCAGTTATCAAAGACAGTGAGCCCCTGACCTCATTAAAGCAGGGACAGTAAGCTGTCACATTAGATCTCTGAGTTGATGCCACAGTTCCTCTTCTGTGTCATGATCAACAAAATGCAAAATGCAGCTTTGAACCAACCCTCTTACCACACAGGAAACTCCCTTCCACCCACACCTTCAGACCAAATAGATCTTCTTTCCAAAGCCCAAACCTAAATAAAAACTGCTATGTAGAAAGAAAGAAAAGATGTTTTTTTTTTCCACCATGCAAATCCATGATGGACTGATTTTCTGTTAGAAAATTACACCAAAGAATTTTAAGTATCTGAATTTTCTATTCAGTTGTCCCGTCAGTGAGTAGTCATTGAGCTTGAACTTGAGGAAGGCCCTGTGTAAAGTGTGTAAGGTGGTGTTGGGAAAATGAAGAGGCACAGACAGGCTGAATTCAGCAACACCTTTATTTTTTGCTCTTACATTGCTGGAAAGTGTGACTAAGATGGTGAAGTCTTTCCTCCTGGAATCGTGGTCTTCTTGTCGGGGAAACTTGTCCGGGTACCACCCGTGACATCAGGTTCTCACACAGAGTCTGGCTGTACCACAATTGCTGAAACCTGCCTACCATCACTCTTGGCTGAAACCAGGGACATCTGATGGACTGATGGGTTAAAAGTCACGAAGACTGCTTCTTTTTCTTTTTTGCTCAATAAAACAAGTAATATATATTTATTACAGATAGATAAAAAAGACTATTAAATCCTTCTTTGTCCAACCAGTCAGAGAGATTCACCGTTAACATTTCGGGGTATTGCATATCCTGCCAGATTTTTCTCTGTTGATTAAGCAGACTTTTCGGGGCGCCTGGGTGGCTCAGTTGGTAAGCGTCTGCCTTTGGCTCAGGTCATGATCCCAGGGTCCTGGGATCGAGCCCCGCACAGGGCTCCCTGCTCAGCGGGAAGCCTGCTTCTCCCTCTCCCACTCCCCCTGCTTGTGTTCCCTCTCTTGCTATCTTTCTGTCAAATAAATAAATAAAAATTTAAAAAAAAAAAAACCAGACTTTTCATTGGCAACAATATTTACTATAGAGATGGGAAGTGCTTTCTTAAAAATGTTACACATAAAAATAGCACCAATGCCATTAGAAAGCTATATTATACCCAAAGGAGTGAATTCAGACATATCCTTAAATACCAGTTATTTAAAACAGACCATACAAGAGAAGCATATAAAGAGATGCTTTGTGTCCCTGAAGAGAAACCACCAACAAATGTTATTTATCCAAGAGCTTATTTGAGATTATGAACTGGGGATACACTATTAATTCTTATCTTAGATTTTCAGATGATACTGGTGATTACATGCTGACCAACAGATAACTTTTCAAGTCGTTTTTGGTTAAACAAAGAGGTTTGGAGGGAATGAGGGAGGGAAGGCCTTAAGCATAAAGTGTATTTAATAGTGGCACAGGATTGTAATAACAGTAATTGTATCACTGGAACTGTAATAAGAAAGCTGGGAATTAAGTTAAGAAAAGTTAATAACTGCAGCTCTTAGAGATACTTTTGGTAGCATTTTTTCAAGTAATGATCTTCATCCGTTAAAAAAAAAAAATCCTGTTTTTTGTCTCACCTCTGTAGATGTTTTTATATCGTGTCCCGGAAAGAAGCAACTGAGATGCTTGAGAAGAACCCTTCTTTGGGAAATATGATCCTGAGACCTGGTAGTGACAGTAAAAGCTACTCCATCACTATCCGGCAGGAGATAGAGTATGTTTAATTAAAAAAGTATGGTATTGTTAAAAGCAAGGTATCACTTTAAAAAGCAAAGTCACACAAGATCAGCACTTGCTACGTGTTCTGTTGGGGCTAAAAATATAAATACAAGAATAGGGAGAGAATGTTACAGAAGCAGAGCCAAGGCTAATATTTGTAATAGGGAAAAAGAAGAATGGGCAAATTACTTTGATCCTGGGTAAGTTTTCTTATTCATTCTTTTCACACATCTTTATTGAACAAAACAACATCCCTGGTTTAAGGAGTTTCACATTCTTGTAAGGCAACATGAACTGTAAATAAATACATAACTAAAAAGTCATATATATAGTAGTAAGTAATTTTGTCTATGGACAAAATTAAATAGGATGAGGGAGATGGGAATACTCAGAGATGATGTTCAGAGAAACATTTTCTGATTCTATTGTTTTAATATAGAGTGGTCAGGGAAGGTCTACTTCATTAGCTAACATTTAAGCAGGGCCCTGAAGGAAGTGAGGGGACAAACCAAACCAATATCTAGGACAAGAGCATTCCAGGCAGCAAGTGCATATTCCCAGAGGCAGGAGAAGGTTCAGTTTGTTCAAAACCAAAAAGAGGCCTCTGTGATTGCAATACGGTGAGCAAGCAAACAGTGGTAAATGAGATTCCAGAGGTAGGGGGAGGGACTGATCACTCTGAGCCCTACAGGTCACTAAGGGCTAAGGTTATATACTCTGAATGACACAAGAGGCCACTGGACTGTGATGCATGAAGAAGTGACATAATCTGACATCTATATAAAGGAGCCCTTGGAGCCTCTTGTCAAGGTTAAGAATTTCTTTCTGGTAAAATGGCTTACCTTTGATAAAGTCAGTAATACTTACATGCAAAAGTTGATTTTTCCATGTAGCTAAGGTGGTTGGATCTGCTAAGGTCCACTCCAGCTGAGTCTATGAAATCTTGCATTTCAATAAATAAGCACTCCAGGTTAGTTAACACTTTGACAAATGATAATGAAATTAAAATACAGGTTTTGTCCTAAATGAAAATGTTCAATAAGTAATTATCTTTCATATAAAAGCATAAGCAGAACTTTGATCCTTGAATTTGCTATTCTTTCTGGCAATAATATTCCATTAATTATTTTAGCTGAAACATATCTATCAATGCATCTATTTACCAGTCAGTCCACTATAAATATCAATAATTCTAAATATATTAAATATGAAGACACTGACAGTGAGTAAAGGCAGTAAAAATAAAATAATTACAATAAGCCATGGTCCAACAAGCTTCATCACTTGCCAATTACTCCATATAAACAGAAACTTGTCTTTAGACACCAGCCATGTGCCCTGAATGGATGGCAAGAATGTTAGAGGTAGATCAGGTCCTGGTTCTGTGTGTGAAGTGAGAGAGCTGTGTGTGTGTGTGTGTGGTGTGATTTTCCACAATGAATACCTACGTCAACTTAACCTTCTTGTTGTTTCATTATTTTCTATTTTAAAGGCTGACATTTGGAGTTAATGTATTTTCAACTAATATGGTAGAATATCACAGATTACTCAATTTTAATTTATTTGATTTATAATTCAATTAGCTTTTTTGAAACAAATCCAAAAGAAATAAAAATTGTGACTGCCACTACATATAAGTGAGCTTTGAAGAAGCCTTGGGAGAAAAGTGAATTTTTCTGTTGAGTACATCCTGGTCAAGGAGCCTTGTCCTTTTTCAGCATTTAGGAAATTGCATTGAGTATGCCTTTAAAAATTAAGAGCACATAAAACTGAATTAAAATCTATTTCTCAGATTTTGTTTTAAAAAGAAATTTAACTGCTGGAAAGCTAAATCACACAAGAGAGTGATTAGCTTTTTTCCTTCATTTTATTTTCTTGGTTGGATTGAGTGTTTGACCCATTAGCATGTGAGCCCTGCATTATTATTCTGTATGAAATGAACAAAGTCCCCGAGACCTAATGACTCTTTACAGACCACATATTTTCTGCACAAAAGCAGCCTGATCTTTTTAAGATGGTCTAAATTAGCCCAGCTTTTGCACTGTATTTTCCGTAAACGTGAGCTATCAGAAATAACAGTGTTTCTGCTGAAGATGTGGTTTGTGACCAAACACAATGAGTTTCTATACTTAGGATATGAACTGAACATCACAGTTTTTACTTATATCTCTATTGTATTTAAGCTATATTTAAACTCCTAAGAGTCTGGCAAAGGAATTCATATCAAACTTCTATAATTCTAATTTTAGTAAAATCACTTCCAGTTTGAATTCACATAGAAATTCGTGCTTTTGTACAGCTGGTGGTCCTCAAAACGTAACATTTCATAAAACTAATCCTCCTCCCCCCAAAAGTGCATATTTAGAAAGCAGAGTGAGGGGGATGGTCAAACTAGCACGTTCTAATGCTAGAGCGGGAATATGCTCATTTAGGCTCTGGGGAATAGTTTATGGTTGGAAATGGATAAGAAAAATTTTAACTGTTGTTGCACCAATTTTCCTTATGAGCCAGATATATCTATGATGTTAGGGATTGTTATACGTGTTGTCTAATGCCTCAAAATAGAACTTTTAGAAGGACTAGATTTCATATCTTCTGTGTAACAGAAAGGGTAGCCGTTGTAGAGAGTAGTAGAATGTTAGTTTGTTAGACTGTAGAGCTTAATGTAAAGACTTTGGCAAAGGATCTAGACGATTAGGAAGCACCTGAACACAGGTGGATAACAACCCACAGAACCAATTCATTCTCTTACAGGTTGTAGGAGAAATGTGCAGCCATGCAAGTTTATGTGTGTCCGGCAAAATACTAGCTGAAAAGGACAGGCTAGTATACAAAGCAGTGCTTGAAAGTAAAACTATCTCCATCAGTTAACCAATCAGCTGTAGGAGGGAAGATAGTAGTTCTTGAGAAGAAGCAAAAGTCATTCAGTGCCCAATTATCAGGTGACCCTCTCTTGATGTAAAATATCCCACTTTACCCAACCCAGTGGTGTGTGAATTCCTAAGACAGAGCTATTCCTACAACAAACTTAGTGGTTTGGCTTTGTTTTCTTAAAGTTGTTACGACTAGGGGTGCCTGGGTGGCTCAGTCATTAAGTTCTGCGTTCGGCTCAGGTCATGATCCCAGGGTCCTGGAATCAAGCCCCACATTGGGCTCTCTGCTCAGCGGGAAGCCTGCTTCTCCCTCTCCCACTCCCCTTGCTTGTGTTCCCTCTCCCATTGTCTCTCTCTCTGTCAAATAAATAAAATCTTTAAATAAAAAAAAAAAAAGCTGTTATGACTACATGGCAAGCTAGTAGTATATACACTTTGGAAAGCCATTAGTCAAGGAAACAGTAGAAAATATTGACCCCAGATTAATTCCTTTGCAAAACTTTGGGTCAGAAGCTAAAAACAAGTATTTATATCACATTTAAGGCCACACACTTGTTAAAAGACAGGTTACTTCTTTTTTGAGGTCATAACCAGGAAACCTCAATATAGCAAATTTTATCAATCTCATTTTTTCCTCTATATTTCTTGGGAAAAACAAAACAAAATATGAAAGAAAAACAAAGGTGTAAAATGAGATTCAAAGCCTAAGTGACTTCAATGGAATTTTTTTTCTACCTTACTTTCTGCTTCAGAACTTAGTCCTTTTAGTCAAAAGTTCCAAGAGACTCTGTTAATCTTTGCTGCTTTTCCTCCCACAGCTTTGTCATGAATAATGATGATGATGATATAATAGCTGTTACTAACAACAATCATTGTCACCCCTTCCAGGGTACCATTTGTGAGTGCTGTGTTGGGTGCTTGACAAGCATTTCCTTCAGGCACAGTAAAAACTGAGACTGTTTTTTCCATGTTTTACAAATGAAGCAGCTGAGCCTTGCAGAAACGACTAAGTTAAAATGATACACTTAAAACGTAGTAAAAACAGTTATAATTTGCTATGTGTCTAAATGTGCAAGACACTGTACTAAGGACTTTTCAGACATTAATTCACAACAACCCTATGAGGAATGGGATTACCATCTCCATTTTATAGATGAAGAAATGAAGGCTGAGAACTTACACGTAGAACCAGAATTTGAACCTCGATCTTTCTGGTTATAAACATCATGCCCTTCAAGTTTTCTATCAGTCTTCCAAGGAATAATAATCATTTATTTCATAGGAATACAGGAATTCTAATTGGAATGGATGAGTTTTCAAAAGTAGCTATATGATTATAAAAGTCTTTTCATGTAGGGATAAAAATAAAGCCAGAGCCAACCACCCCAAAAGAAGGTACTTGTAAGACCTCTGTCCAAAAATGTTTCCTTCACCAGTCTGCTAGTGATTCCTGGAAGATCAGCAATAAAGAATACTTTATATTTTTAATTTTTTTTTTTTTTAGGAGGGGAGAGAGTTAGGTTTTATCCCATGTTTTAAAAGTAAAGTTCTAGAATAAGCCACTGGAATAAAATTATTAGCGGTTTTCCAATGATACTCAACTGAGAGAATATTGGGATAGAGTGGTAGATGGGGAAAAAGTCCCTGAAAAGAAGTGTAGTTCAGTTCTAGAGGAATGGGACCTGGAAATGGAGAGACGGGTGATAAAAAAGAAGGTGGGAGGCCCTGCCAACAAACTTAACCTGATAGACAGCTTTAGACTGCTTCTGTAAATTGGACAGATGTTGAATTAGTTTCTTTCAAGCAAATGGCAGTGTAATAAATGCTTTTAACTTTTCAACATTAGAAAAAGTCTTGGTCCTGACACTTGTCACATGAATCAAAGGAGTTCAAAGCAAACCTACTGACTTCTGCTCTCAGTATAAATTAATTGTAGCAAATAGCACTATAAGATGAGCTTGTAATATTTTAAAAATTCAGTTTCATAAATATTGTGTGCCTAATGCTGGAAGACAAAGGTGAATAGATTGTGCTTCTTGTTCTTACACAATTCTAGTCAATAAAATACCATGTGTTTAGGGTGGTAATAATTTAGAGTGCTATGTGACCATAGAAGAGGAAGACATTACGGTTCATCTACTGTGTTTACATTCTCACTGAGCATTTTCCATTATCTGTAAGTCAGCCCTGAAGTTAACAGATATCCAAGGTGGGCAATGAGCTAGCAGGAAGAAAAGCCGTTCAGGGATTTCTGATAGGAATAGTGATGAGGTAGAGTAGAAAGTAATTTGCTTTCAGCAATTCTTTCTACTTCCCTTTTAATCTAGAGAATAAAAATCTGATTTGTATGTACCTACACAGGATTTTATAATGTTGCCTGCTTTGTATATTATTGGCATTAAACAATAATTTCTGCCTGAAAGATTTTCAGTTCTTGATTCATTTCTTCCTGTTATCCAATCACCACTCAATGACTCAGTTTCCTAGATCCCTAGTGTATAACCCCTCCAAAAACAGACATAGAGAACTGGGTAAATAAAAGAAAAACCACCATTCCCCCCGCCATCCTTTTTTTTTTTTTTTTTTTGCCTAACTACTGGAATGGGAACATAGGTTCTACTATAGGGGAGATATTTTATATTCACTTTAGTTTGATTTCATCCAATAGTATATTCAAATGAAGATTAACCTTTTTTTTTTTTTCATTTTAGTATGCCAAGAATCAAGCATTACAAAGTGATGAGTGTAGGAAAAAACTACACTATTGAACTGGAAAAACCTGTAAGTAGCTATTTCTTGTTTTTGATGAATTTTCTCCTGCTTTTTCCCAAATCTACCTTACAGAATTCAAAGAAAGGTGGAAAAGCAGACCCCTTGCCTAGGAACATAGTGCTGGTGAAAAACAGCCAGGTGAAGGAGCCCCAAAAGTGGCAGATATCCAGGGTGAGAAGCGAGATAAAAGAGCAGGTGGATGAGGAGGCACAGTAGAAGACAATCTGCTAACAATTCTTTCTACTTTTGTTTCTCTGTAATCCTTATCAATATGATTATTTCAATGAGGGAAGATTTTTTTTCTTATTCGTCTATTTTACAGCCACCAATGATATGTATTTCAATGTGCTTATTTCTAATGGGGAAAAAAAATATGTGAATGCCTAGTCCTCTAATACCCATCATGCAGAAGTTCAGAAATCCCCCTCATAATAGCAATATAATCATGAAGAAATGGTTTCTTCCTGGTCTGCAACCCCTCTCCCATCCCAATCAACTTACCATGGGGCTAATGATACAATATCATAATCACTAGGTCACTGTATTAGGCAGAGAGCTAAGTACCTTACATATATCACTTAATCTTCACCATTACCCTGAGGGAATGCCTATTATACAGGTGGGAAAACTGGTATTTACACTCATCTCAACCAATGACGATGTAGTGATGTGAGCTATGGTCCAGATGCCAGAAAAAGGGAATATAGCTGTGTGATCTTAAGCTGCAGTGGTGGGAAGATTGGACCAGGGAAGTGATATCACATAAATGGAACGATGAGTCTTAAGACATTTATTTTAACATCTCTAAAATTGAGCTCTTAGTGCCTCTGCCTCTCCAAGCCCACTGTGTTGATCAAATAGAGAAATGGGCAGTATGGTTGAATTTTTATGTTTATTTTTTATTTTTTTAAAGATTTTATTTGTCAGAGAGAGACAGAGAGACAGAGAGGAGAGCGCACAAGCAGGTGGGGAGTGGCAGGCAGAGAGAGAAGCCGGCTCCCTGATGAGCAAGGAGTCTGATACGGGACTCATCCCAGGCCCTGTGATCATGACCTGAGCTGAAGGCAGACACTCAACCGACTGAGCCACGCTCGTGTCCCTGAAGTTTTTAGGTTTAGACCTTACTTTTTAGAATGCAGTAGTGACCTTTGCAAGAGGAGGGAAGCTGCTGACTCATATACTCCACTTTCATCGTTGCCATAAATGCTTCCCAGAGCTTCTCAGCTCTCATGTCCATGCCTGCCGGGGCTTTTTCAAAAATTCTAATGAAGGAAACAAACAACCAGATTGCTGAAGGATAACCCAAATAACCAACTGACTGGAAGCAAAGGTCAGGGAAGTAGAATGTGCTTCTGTGACTAGTAAACTGGGGCTTGTTTATCTGTAATTAGCTCGAATAGTCCCCAGTGTAAGGAAAGCTAACAGCCTGGATTGTTCTTTCACCTTTCACACTCCCCTCCCCTACCCTTCAACCAGCTTGCCATTTTATGAATTCCAGGGATATTCAGGTTTAACCTGATTTTACTTGTATAAAAATATGGTTTGTGGGTGGCAACCCATTTCAGCTACTCTTGGCCAAGTAAATTATCCTGTTAAAGGGAGATATTAAAATGCTAAATTCTCTGGCTTTAAGGGCTCTTTGGTTTCAAACAAAAGAAACCAAGTAACTTAACTTAAGCAAAGACAGATTTAAGAACATAGGAAGCACATAAAGCGACTGGAAAGCTGGAGCACCTCCAGGGACTAGGAACAGTTGACCCTTGAACAACACGGGTTGGAACTGCATGGGTCCACTTACATGTGGATTTTTTTTTTTTTTTTTGATAAATACAGTACAGTGCTGCTAAATGTATTTTTCTGAATAACATTTCCTTTTCTCTGGCTTACTTCATTGTAAGAATATATAATACGTAGAACATACTAAATATGTGTTAATCAACTAATTATGTTATCAGTAAGGCTTCTGGTCAACAGTAGGCTTTTAGTGTTTCATTTTGAGAGGAGTCAAAAGTTGTAACATGGATTTTTGAGTGCATGGGGGCTGGCATCCCTAAACCCTGTTGTTCAAGGGTCAACTGTAGTGAGAACCATCTGATTAGGAATATGCTATCCTTCCTTGCTCTCTACTCAAGTTAAAACTTCAGGAAGGGAGAATTTTCTGGCCTAACCTGAGTCACATTCTCATGCAATAACTAGGGAAGAGCAGAGTACCTAATTATTGTCCACCAAAATGTATCCCATGGGGAGGGGGAAATTTCTCAACAGGGAATTGGGTATTACAAAAGAGAAAAAAAATGCATGGGTAGGAAACATTGGCCATTCAGAACCTCATTGAAGTGGAGTACTGACATGTTTTACTAGAGATCAGGAAATTCACAGTAATCATTATTTCATCTGAGCTTTCTTTTACTCTCTCTTCACATGGATGACACTGAGCCTTCTCTCACTCTCTTTGTACAGGTAACACTCCCAAACCTTTTCAGTGTCATTGATTATTTCATGAAGGAGACTCAAGGAAATTTACGACCATTTATATATTCAACTGATGAAACCCTTGGTATGTTCACTTCATTGCTGTATTAAGGAAAACAAAACAAAACAACAATCCCTCCCCTCACCCCCGTATAAGATTTGTAATACCAACCAGGTAGGAACGTAGTTCAGCTTTTAAGTTTATCTATTTGTAAGTCATTTGGTCACTAACCCTGTGAAAATAAGGGAGTACCAATATATTCTGGTGGATGAGTACTGGTCCATTCTAGAGAAAGAAAAGCCGAAAGGCATGTATTGAGACTACTAATTTCATCATCATTCTACTTGGGCTTTTTTTTTTTTTTAAGATTTTTTATTTATTTGACAGAGAATGAGAGAGAGAGAGAGCACAAGCACAGGGAATGGCAGGCAGAGGGAGAGGGAGAAGCAGGCTCCTCTCTGAACAGGGAGCCTGATGAAGGGATCGATCCCAGAACCTTGGGATCATGACCTGAGCTGAAGGCAGACACTTAATGGATTGAGCCATCCAGGCGCCCCTCTACTTGGCTTTATCAAACAAGTTCAGAGATAAGATGAAAACCATACTCGTACAGAGTCATGGAAACCAAACAGGAATTTTAAAAGTACGATCTGTCAACAATATCAGATGCTCTAGTCAGATTAAAATGGATGAAGATTAAAGAGAGACTATGGGAATTGGCCATTAGGCAGTAGATGACTTGAGAGAGAGGCTTATTCTATCATAAAGGCAGAAGTCTAAGTGTAAGATATATACATCCCCATTCCTACAGATTATGAGGTCAAACAACTTTGTTTGGTTACCTGCATCAAGGCATATCTGAAAAGTCTAAGTTTAAAAAGCCAGCAACTTTAAAAGTCCAAGGTTGAAAACATAGTTATGAATCTTGTGATGCCAAATAAAGAAACTCAGAGTCTGAAGGAACTTCAGGGAAATTGTCTAGTACAGTGTCTCACTCTATACAGGAATCACCTGTACACTGAGTACAGAAGACATCTCTAAGATGTGACCAATCAGCTTGTTTGAAAATTCCTGATGGTCGCCTCACTGGTTTTTGAGGCAGCACACTTCACTTCTATCAGTGCTCATCTTAGAGAATTCTTCCTTAATAGTGAGTCTGAAATATTTCTTCCTTTAACTTCTATATATTAATCCATTTCTGGCTTTGGAACAACTCAGGGTTTTAAAAAGCCTGTCAAATATATAAAAGCAGACACAATGCCCCCCGCCCCTTAGTCTCTGTCCTCTGTGAGTTATTGGTTCCTTCAGCCCTCTTATCACATCTTTGACCTTTTCTCTATACTAATTTCTGAACATCTCTCTTAAAATATAACTACAACGAATGAAGACATTACTACAGATATGGCCAGAATAATATATTACACAGGCTTAATGCAGGAAAACACCATTTATAGAAATCTATTAACTATTACTTAATATGATTATTAATATAAGAAGTAACTATTGATATATATATTTTTTTTTTCAGAGACCAAACGATTTCCTGTAACACCTCTAAAATTTAAAAAAAATGTTTAGGGTGATGGTGAATCTGCTATAATTTGCTTCACGTCAGTTATCTAATGCTGTGTAACAAACCACCCCAAAACATGGTAGTTAAATCAACAACTATTTTATTTGCTCACGATTCTGTGCATTGGCAATTTGGACTGGATTCAGTTGGGCAGTTCTGCTGGTCTCACTTGCTGTCACTTACACGACTAACCAGCTGATGGCCTGACCGGGGCTGTATGTTTCAAGTTGGCCTCATTCACACATCTGGCGCTGGCGGCCAGCTGGAGCTGGCTGAACCACTCTCCTCACTTATTCTCTAATACTTGAGGAGTTAGCTCAGGCTCTCTCACATGAGATCTCAGAGCCGTTAAGAGGAGAAGGAAACCTCAAGTCCTTGGGCTAGAAATTCTTAGTGTTAAGGATCAAGCATGGCCCTGTTGGAGCTTTTAGTATAGGAGAAACTGTGAATTGAATAAATCTAAGTGTGATGTGTCTTATGTACAAGGGCTATACTTCTTTTTAAAAAATTTAACTTACATGCAATAAAATTCACTCTTTTCTTAGTATACAGTCCAATGAGTTTTGACAACCACCACCAGAATCAAGATTCAGAAAGTTCTGTCACCTCAAAAAAATGCCCTTAATGTTCTTTCTTTGTAGTCAACCCCTCTTCTCACCCATAATCCCTGGCAACTACTGATGTTTTCAATTCCTATAGTTTTGCACTTTCCAAAGTTATATAAATGGAATCACAAGTATTGAAAACTTTTGAGGCTGATTACTTTCATTCATCATAATGTCTAGATTCACACAAGTGTTGTGTGTATTACTAGCTTTTTTTTTTTTAAAGATTTTATTTCTTTGACAGAGAGAGAGCACAAGTAGGCAGAGAGGCAGGCACTTGGTATTGTCATTAAATTTTTTTTTCTTTAATTTTGAGTAAACTCTACACCACACATGGGGCTTGAACTCATGACCCTGAGGATCAAGAGTTGCATGCTCTACCAACTGAGCCAGCCACACCCCATTGGTATTGTCACGTTTTTAAAAAAGTTACTCTAATGGTATCTCTGTGGTTTTAATATGCATTTCCCTCAAGATTAATTATGTTGAACATCTTTTCATGTGCTATTTGACACTCATATATCTAATTTGGTAAAATATCCGTTTAAACCTTCTGACCACATTTTTGTTTGGTTTTTGTTTTTTTATGGTTGAAATTTGATAATTCAGTGCATATTCAGATATTGTCAGATATAATTTGCAAATATTTTATTTTTTCATTCTTTTAATAGTATCTTTTGCAAAGCTTAAGTTTTAAATTTTAATGAAGTAAAAATGATCAATTTTTGCTTCTGTATATAGATTGTACTTTTGATGTTGTATCTGAGAACTCTTTGCCTAACCTAAGATCACAGAGATTTTTCTCCCTGGTTTTCTTCTTTAAGTGTCATAGTTTTATGTTTTACATTAGGTCTATGACCTACTTGAAATTAATTTTAAGGGCAGAATTCATTTTATTTGCATTTAGGTATATAATTGTTTGAGCACCGTTAGTTAAAAAAAGATAATCTTTTCTTCATTTAAATAGCCTTTGTACCTTTGTAAAATAAAAAATAATCAATTGACCGTATTTTTGTGGATCAATTTCCATTGCTATATGTTCTTACCCTTTTGCCAATACCATGCTATCTTGATTACTGTAGCTTTATAGTAGTTCTTGAAATCAGAAAATATAAATCCAACTTTGTTCTTCTTGACAAAATTGTTTGGACCAATCTAGTTTCTCTGCCTTTCTGTGTTAAGTTTTAGAATCAGCATGGTACTTACAGAAAAATCCTCCAGAGTTTTGACTTGGATTTTGTTGAAGCTTTAGATGAGTTCCGGGAGAACTGACCTCTTGACAATATTATCTTCCAAATCAGGAATAATATATCCTTCCAGTTATTTAGGTTTTTTTTTTTTATTTCTTTTATAGTTCTTTGTAATTTTCAGCATACAGATCCTGCACATATTTTGTTAGATTAATACCTAACGACTTAATTTTTTGGTGCTATTATAAATGGTAGTTTTTAACATTTTGGATTCCAATTATTTATTGGTAATATATACAAATACACTTTTTATATATTGATCTTGCAATTCCAAGATTCCATTTGCTAGACTTTTATTCATTTCTAAAAGCTTTTTTTTGATTCCTTGTAATTTTCTTTTTTTTAAAGATTTTATTTGTCAGAGAGAAAGAGAGACAGCACAAGCAGGGGGAAAGGCAGGCTCCCCATTGAGCAGGGAGCCTGATGAGGGACTCGATCCCAGGACCCTGGGATCATGACCTGAACGGAAGGCAGACACTTAACCAACTGAGCCACCCAGGCATTCCTTGCTTCCGGTTTTAAAGGACAATAACATTTCATCTTTCACTAAGAAGTATAATGTTGGCTGTAGGTTTTAAAAAGATGATTTATCAGACTGAGAAAGTTTCCTTTTATTTTGTCTAGTTTTGGTATTAGTGTAATGCTGCCATCAAAAAATGAGGTGGGAAGCATTCCTTCTTCTTCTGTGGTCTGGAAAATATCTGTAGAATTGGTATTTTTTTTACTTCAATACTTGGTAGAATTCACCCAGTGAGCCATATGGGCCTGAAGATTTCTTTACTGAAGGTTTTTAACTATGAATTCAATTTCTTTAATAGATGTAGGATAATTCAGGTTATCTATTTTTTTCTTGAGTGAATTTTGGTAATTTCTTTTAAGGAATTGTTCATTTTTTTCTAAGTCCTTGAATTAGTCTTCTGGCCTAGGGCCTGGAACAAAGTAGAAGCTGATGGATATTGGTAGAATAGATAGATGAATGAATAAGCATAACATTAGGGAAGGAGGAAGCAACCCTCTCTTCTTCCTAAAGGAAAACTGTCATTCTTAGAAACAGGAAAGGACTATTGCAAGTAACTAGAGCCTGTGCGACTGTATACTTAACTCTGTGATAGGCACTGTGTGAAGTGCCATGATTATGTGAATCGTCATAAAACAAGGATAATAATCATACTTTCCTTATAAGATTATTGGGAGAAATAAAAATGAGACGATTCATATAATCACTACCTAAGTAGTTTTCACATATGACTAAAGTTAAGTCAGAAACACAACTAGTAAATGAAGTTGGAATCCAAACCCATGTTTATTTCTGAAGCCTTTTTAAAAAAACCTTCTCAGTGATTGACATCTCCAGTGATAGATACCTGTATACAGATATTCATATTCTCCTCCCCCCGACCCTTCACCCTATCCTTTCTTGTTTCTGTGGGTTGGGAGTCTGGGCCTCCCTTAGTTGGGTCTTCTGCACTTTTTTCATTTTTTTGAGCGGGGGGTGGGGAGGGGCAGAGGGAGAGGGAGATGGAGAATCTTAAGCAGGTTCCATGCCCAGTGCCAGCCAAGGCAAGGCTTGAACTCATAATTTGAGTGAAATCAAGAGTCGGACGCTTAACCAATTGAGCCACCCAGGTGCCCCTGGAGACTTTTTTAAAAATTTAAAGCAGATAATCATCCTGATTAGACTGAACCAATTCTGTCTGCCTTACTCTTTGTGGGAAGAAGTTCCAGTATCAGTTCAGTTTTCAAAGCCTTTGTTATGTTGGTTTGGGTCTGTCTAATGCATGTATGTGTCAGGGATTGACCTAGGACTTAGGCAGTGGTTTATAGTTTAGTTATGAACTATACATATATATAATAAACTACATAAAGACTATATATAACTTATATAGTTCAGTAGTTTTTACTTCTCAAAGCCTTCGTTATCTGTTTTATATGTTCTGTGCAGGCACAGCTTAGGGGTGAGCCTGGAACTTATAGGAGATGTTTTTCAGTTCTCTCACCTCTCCAGGATTTTCCCCACTTTCCTGCTACCAAAGGTCCTTTTTCCTGGTCTTTTAAAGATGGGGTTTCTTAAGAGTTTTAGCCATCTGTGCCACCGCGTAGTTCTGTGGAGACTGGGACTGCCTTTGGGGAAAAGACATTAAAAGAAGAGGAAGAAAAAACTAACAGGAATTCCAACCTTTCTCCCTGGCAACCCCCACCCACCCTGTCCACCCATTCTTTTTTTTTTTTTTAAGATTTTATTTATTTATTCATGAGAGACAGAGGGAGAGAGCGAAGGAGAGAAGCAGAGGGAGAAGCAGGCTCCCAAGGAGCAGGGAGCCTGATGCGGGACTCGATCCCAGCACCCTGGGATCATGACCTGAGCCGAAGGCAGACGCTTAACCATCTGAGCCACCCAGGCGCCCCTGTCCACCCATTCTTTAGGCCACATTTTCCCAGGTTCTCTGGCCAGGATGAGCTTTCTTTGGGGGTGTTAGGTGCTTATGCTGCCTCTATTGCTACAGTGTAGTTAGTGCTTTGAGATGGAGCCATCCTCAGAGCAGGGCCAGAAGAGAAAAATAAATAAAGAATAGAAAGAAATAGGCGTCTGGGTGGCTCAGTCATTAAGCGTCTGCCTTCGGCTCAGGTCATGGTCCCAGGGTCCTGGGATTGAGCCCCGCGTCGGGCTCCCTGCTCAGCGGGAAGCCTGCTCTCCCTCTCCCACTCCCCCTGCTTGTGTTCCTGCTCTCGCTATCTCTCTGTCAAATAAATAAAATCTTTAAAAAAAAAAAAAATAAAGAGTGGAAAGAAATAACCAAAAATGGGCTGTTCGTGTAAAATGTCAATGCTTTTAGAAACAGACAACCAGATTACTATTGCTCTGGTGACTGAACTGGTTCAGTTTGCTTTGTGATCCGAAAAAAATTACTCAACCTCCCTGCATATCAGATTCCCTTATTAAAAGAGTGAGGGAGCAACACGACATATGAACAGATAGAATTAGATGATCACATGGAGAGAGCCTTGAAATAATCAGACTATCTTCTGTAGAGTAATGTATTTTCTTTGAAAAGCAGAAAGATGATGGAAGAGTACATGACAGTGGAGAAAGGACTTAAAAACAAAATAAAACAAAGTACAAAAACAGCAAAACCCATCTTGACAGATGGT